GATTGTCTATAACATTCTTTATTTTTCAAAGCCTCCCCTGAATCCAGGACACCCCTCCACAGAGTAAGAACCAGGAAACTACTATTGGGTCATTCTCCCAGATATCTGACTTAAATCCCTTCTGCTGTATTAAGCCCCAATTGCCTCCCATTTTTCAGAGAGGGCAGGGAGAAGGGTGATTTCATGTACTTCAAGAAGTGGGTCACGTCACTGGGGACCTGACCTTTCCCAGGGAGTGGGCAGCTGAACAATGGGAGATAAATGTGTTGGAAACATCCCTGTTACTAAATATAACCACTTCCTGAGAGGATGGGGGTGCTGACAGGGAGCCCATGCCCCCCCCCCCCCCCCCCGCCCTGGAGGTCACAATCTTGTGGCTCAGACAAGCTGGGGCACGCAGGGCGGCAGACAAGACTTATAAAGTACAGCTGGGGCAGAGAGGGTGGGAAGCCAACACGAAAGAGGGTGAAGTCTCATCCTCCCAGCCAAAACTGTCAAGCCCCAGCCAGCTTATTTGCATATTACTTTGCATTCATTTGCATGCTAGTTTCTGGAAGGGGCCAACATTCTTCAGCCACTGTTTCTCCCATTTTCAGGCCCCCTTGTTGGGGGCACTTGGAGAGCACAAAAAGTTGTTGATCTTCAGTTCTTCAGTGATACCTACATATCAAGACTGTTGGATACTTTGGTGACAGAAAGTGCTTCCTATAGTCTAACCTCGATCCCTCCCTCCTCTCTTGTTTCATTTCTGCCCAATCCTTCCCCAGCCCTTGCACTTCATGCACAAGCCAATTTAAATTCCTACAGTCCTCCTATAAGCAAAACCATACTTGCTCTTGCCTCAAGGCTTTTGTACATGACGTTTGCTTCTTTCTGGAGCTGTCCCTCATTTCTGCCTGAAGAAAGGTTGCTTCCCTGTAAGGCTAGCCCCAATGGCCTCACCTCTTAAATGCCTTCCCCTGATACAGGCAGAGGTCAGGAAGACCACGGGCTTTCCACCATGTGATCACTGGCTCCGTCCATCTCCCTTGAAGGTTGCCATGCTTGGTTGGGCAGCAACACAGTGAGTGGCTGATGAATGAAATGAATGAATGAATGAATGAGTGAGTGAGTGAATGAATGAATGCATGCAACTTCCCCTCCCCTGTCTCACATCTCTTCCAGTCTCCTTCTCCCTGGATGACTTCACTCACCATTACTTTTGGACAGAGGTCAAGACAGCCCATCTCTCTTTTACCATGTGTAGTTGGAATAATGGCTTTCTATCTTGGATGTGTTCGTACCTCTCCTGAACCATTATGCCGCAGGCTGGTCCTACTTAGGAGGAAGCACAGTCATTTAGGGTGGAGAAAGGACACAGGTCAGACTGGGCACCTGGAGAAGCTGGGCCCTTTAGAGGAACCCAGGGTAGATACAGTTACTGTGAGAGAAGGTCTGCAAGGAGGGAAGGGATGAGCTTCGCATCCCTGGGGTTATGTTAGCAGGGGCTGGATAGACCTGCAGGTAAACTGCAGAGAAAAGTAAAGCAACTGTTTAAAGGTGGTGCAGAAGCTCTTCTTGTCCTTTCCTGCCCAGAGGCTGCCTGACCTCAGTGACTAGTCCTGTGCCATGAGTGGGGTTCAGGAGCCAAGAAATTGGCTCCTGCCTTAGTAAAACTCCTCGTCTGACTGAATAAGGAACTCACACAAAAGACACGACAAAAGAAAGCAGTCTGAACAGCATTCTTGATCCTGTACCATCAGGGAGAGAGACGTGAGGGTAGGACATGGGGTCAGAGGGAAGGGGAACCAAGGAGGACTTTCCGAGGGGAGATTTCCTATTTTAAAAATAGCCTTTCCGGGCCTTCCCTGGTGGCCAACAGGTTAAAGCACAGCACTATGAAGCTATCACAGCCAGGGAGCTGACCCACATGGCGTGGCAGACCTCTCCTGACCCGCCCGCTGCTCCCCTCAGCAGTGTACTTTGCCAGTCAGCCTATTCTGCCCTCATTCTGTCTCTGGTGAATTCTCTCACCCCCTCCATCTCTGGCCTGTACTCCAATTCTGTATGCATAAATAAATCTTAAAAAAAAAATAGCCTTTCCCAGATCCTTACTCCTATAGGAAAAGTCCAAGCCCCTAAGCCTGGCATTTGAGACTACAGAAGCTGGCACCTGCTGCCCTGTTTCTCTTTTCAATTATCTTCTCACTCCAGCCAGTGCAAACTCTTTCTTGCCCTTGAAGCTGCTGCATTTACTTGCATTTACCCACCTTTACAGGCTGTTCCCTCTGCTCTTCCCTGCCTGGGTAATTCATTGCCATCCTTCAAGATTCAGCAAAATGTCTCTTCCTCTGAAGCCCTGGCTTAGTCCAGTCCCCAACCGTTCCTTCCCTTGGCCAGCACTATTCATTCTGTAGGGATATACATTTCTATCTCTTATCAGCTTGGGCACCCCGAGAACAAGGTCTGGTTTAGTATCCTCTCTGTGGTCCCAGTGATCAAGCCAGTGGACAAAAAGAAGGCACTGGGCAGTGTCTTGCTGAGTGGGTGGGTGGACAGGTGGATGGGTTGACAGGTGAATGAGTAGAAGAATGCTGAGGAGGAAGACTATATGGACCCAAAAAGTGGAAGTATGGCTGGTAGTTCACATGGCCCAACAGTCCCATAGCCTGACAGCAGCATGGCTGAGGGTGAGACTCCCAGTCCATTAACACTGAAGGGGGTGAATGCTGGGAGCTCTGCCTCCCCCATTTGGCTAGAACCCAGCCAAGCCATCAGCAGTCCCCAGGGACAGGAGGCTGGAGTGGGAAGCAGGAAGAGTGGCAAGAGCTGCTTGGTGGGCAGGTGGAACTGGGGGGTGCAAAGGAACACATAAGCAATTAACCCTCACTGCGCCAACCCAGCTCAGGCATCCAAGAGGTGCATACAAGGTCTGAAGGAGGAGACTGATGAAACACGTTTGCTCCAGCCTTGCAGCCAGAGGAGAGTGACAAAACCACAGCCTCAGTCTGGGAAGAGGTAGCTCTATAATCTTGCACCCTCCGTACCCCAGTAGAAACCCTACAGGGGTGTCTCCCTCTACCTTGCTCCTCTGAGTCTTCCAAAAGCTCTCCCCTCTGACATCCTGACCCTCTGAAGTCTTGCTACCATACCCTCCACCCCAGTCTAAACCTGAGCCACCTGGAAACTCCCTCCTTCATTCTCTTCCCTAAGCCTCCCATGCTCTCCCTTCAGAAAGTCCAGGCTCCTCTGCCCCCTGAACCCCTTGCCCCAGACTTCACTGACGTCCACATTGGCATGGGCTCCATGTTCCCACCTCTCCCTTCCAGTTCAACCTTGACAGTGACATGAGGCAGCGTTCTAAAACCCAAACTGTTATGTCCCTCCACTGCTTAAAACTTTCTTGGACTCTGTAGGGTCTTGAGGATAAAGCCCAAGAGGCAGACACGTGCCCTGCCCAGTCCAGGGCCTTTGCTTATGCTGTTAACACACCAACCCCCACCTGTTACCGTTGTTCTGATCTTACTGCTTAATTATTCTCAAGCTATTTTATGGCTCAAGCTTAGGAGGCCCCAGAGGGCAGAGCCATTATTTTTATTTCTCTTCCAAATTTCCCCACAGGGTGTAGAATGAATTGTCCTGGGCTCACAGAGGTGCTCATATATTCAGACACCCCTGTCTGCCTCAGTGGGCCGTGGGGTCCCAGTTATGTCCTCAACCACCAGGGGAAGGAGTACTCAAGTACTTAAATAAATACTTAAATGAATACTCACAGAAACACTCTGGCACACCAGCCTCACATGCACCATGTATACACTTCTACAACTGGCACCACGACCACACGTCTCCATGAATATACATATGCTAAACACACACACAGGAACACTAAAACTCACATTCACACATATACACACACAGGCACATACATGATATCACCTGGGAAATATCCTCAATATTAAGTCACTGCTTTGCAGGACACGGCATACAAGTTAGTATGCATGCTAACAGCAAACCCAGACTAGCGTGTGCAGACACAAGCACACACACACCTGCACTCAGACATGTACAGAAACACTCAATCATGCCAGAATGTTCGCACACCCTGACAAACTGGTGCATGAGCAACCTCCAAGGACCCAGAATTCAACAGGCCCCTCTACACCTCACATGTCACAGCGCATCCCACACATGTACACACTGACACACATCCTCACACAACTGATGCAAACCTGCACCTCTTGGACCTGGAGACACATGTGTCACCTGCCTGCTACCTGCTAGCCCCTGACCCTGGAGGGTCACCTCCACAGAACACCCCCCCACTCCCCACACACGTGGGCAGACACCAGGCTGGTACACAGGGGCCTTATGACACCTAGTCCCACGGCTCTCTCTGAGACAGGTGCTTTGGGATAAAGTTGCCAAAACTGGCAGCTCCAAATGCCAGCCCCAATTCCACGGTGGGCAGCTACCCCAGACGCTCCAGCCCCAGGACCACTCATTCTTATTCACACTCATGCTGTTGTTCATGTGCTCTCTCTCTTTCTCTCTCTCTCTCTCTCTCTCTCTCTCTCTCTCTCACACACACACACACACGCACACGCACACGTATACACACGCCACGTGTGCCCCAGCACTCCTGCCCCAGAACATCTTCCCTCTCCTCTCCAGTGTCCTGAATCAGTCATTCTCAAACCCCAGAGCTCCTAGAACTCCCCCGCAGGCTTTCCCCACCCCCAGCCCCTGAGAGATGATTCAGGTTCATTACCAGCCCCTCCCCCAGCCTCCAGTCCCTTCTGTGGGACCCCGGCCTCCTCCCCTAGGCTGATGTCAGGCACCCTGACTGCCGAGCCCCTCCACCAGGCTACAGTCCAGTCGGGCATCCAGGCGCCCAGGAGCAGGATCGTTCCTCCCACGTGGCTCAGCTCCACACCAAGCTCAGCTCCCCGAGAGGCTCCCAGGACCCTCCATGGCACCTCTTGCAGCCGCTCACCCAACCCCAGCCCTTTCATAGTACTCACGGCTCAGCCGGTCTCGCTGCCGGGTACTGCTGGCTCCTGCAGAGGATGGAGTGGCCGCATGCCTGCCCCATCGCTCCTCATCATCTGCCTCCCCAGCCAGACTAAGGTGGCACCTCGCCCTTTCCACCCTGCCTGGGCTTCCAGGCAGGGTGCTTGGCCCAGCAGACACAGCGACCGGGAGCAGAGGTCTATGCCCAACTCAGCCTGGACTCAACACCCCAACCCAGCCCAGCTGCCTAGGCTGCTCCCGCCTCTCCTCTCCGGCAGCCACTGCCTCAGCCGCTAGGCTGGCTCGGGGAGGAGGCTGGAGCAGGTCTGATAATGCAGGAATGGGAGGGAGGAGGGAGGAGGAACAGAGAGGCCCAGACAGAGAGGGAGGGAGGGAGGGAGGGGTAAAGAGAGACTCTGACTGGGAGAGAGGAAAGAAAGACACACAGAGGGAGAGGGTGAGAGAGAGGCAGAGACAGGCAAGGGGAGAGAAACACACGAAGGAGAGGAGAGGGATCAGGGCCCTGGGAGTATCAAGATGGAAATACAAAGAGATCAGAGAGGCATAGTCAAACACGCACACACAGAGGAACACAGACAGAAAAGGAAAAGCACACACAGAAATGGAGAGATAGAGAGCCAAGTAGCTGAGAAAGGAGCCTAGAAAGAAGTATGAGGTTGTGGGCTTTGCCTCATGGGCTAGGCTGGGAAATGGGGTTATGAGATAGACAGGAGCCAGACCCTCTGCTATTCTGTCAGAGTCCCCCAGTGTGGGTGAGCACCCCTCTACCCCCCAGCAGTTGGCAGGCCCATGCCTCTGGGGAGAACTAGCCACCACCTGCTCTTGTCCCACAGGTTTGGGATCATGTCTTAGGGTACATCTCCAGCATGCAGTTGGGTACACAAGAGGCTCAGGGGGGCTTTACTGATGGTCTCTGGACTCAGAGTCTTGCTGGAGAGTCTACTTCTTGGTGGTGCTGCTTTGCAGGGACACTGTGAGAGCTGATGCCTGCGCGTGGACTTCTAGCTGTGGGCAGCGAGGCACAACCTACAGCATACAACCTTCACTGCACCCGGGCTCTCCTAGGGAGAGGGCCTTGCCTCACCTCTGCCCTGCCCGCAGGCAGGGCTCTTCAGGATGGAGCCTTAACCTGACACAATGGGAGCATTTCTAGACAATGGGTCAGGTAGGTGGCTATCACAGCAAAGCTCCTGTTGTTGTACAAGGAGGAAAAACTCTACAACTTGAGGCAGAAGAGGGGGGTTTGAATCCTGGCTGCACCACTGACTCACTCATTCACGAACACCTACTGGGCCAACCTCATCAAATAGGGCTCAGACTGTTTCTCACCTTGGTGAAGTACCCAGGCAAGAGGTGAGGGGAAGAAGAGAGGGAAACATAAAGGAATCCTTTACCATTAAGGCAGAAGGGGACATATTCCAGGCTAGAGGAGCCACATATACCCACACCAGGAACCCCTCTTCTCTGAGCCATGGGGAGATAACCCTGCCATGCACTCCACACTTTAGGCAGAACAACCTGTAAGACTGAGTGGAAATCTGACCATTGCTGAAGGAAGTGGAGTGTGTGGTGGTGGGGAGATGGGCAGGAATGGCCTAACTTGTGTAGATCTGTCCAGACAGAGTACTAGAGAAAGCTGTTGTCTCATGGCTTAGAGGTGTCTGGAAAGAAAATGTAAGGGAGTCTTTGCTTCCCACTGTGCCCCATGAAGTACACTTCTAGTTTTCTGAAAGGTTTAGGAAACTGTTTCCTCACTCAAGAGGCATGAAATCTAGCCAGCCCAGAACTCCTGACTTGCTTCTTTCAGCCAGCCCATCCCAGAGACCTCCCCCCCCCCAAACCTCTCCCCACATGCTGGCTGATGGGGAAGGCATCCTGCAAATTCAGAAAGCTGAGGTACTGGTTGTCTTGGCCCCTCCCATCTCTCAGGAGGCTGGTGGTGGGAAGCTGAGTCAGAATGTTCAAAGGAGGGTGTCTTCTAGGTGAGTGTGTTGGGAAAGAGGAGCAGCAGGAATCTTGAGGTCTTACCAGGTCTTCAGTCAGCTTTTGCCCTCCTACTTTGGAAATAATGGTGGAAGTCTCATCCTCTGAAATCTCCTGAGGATATATTCAAGCAAGTCAGATGGGCAGGAGGATTTCTTCCTATCCCACTGTTCCACTGGACTCTACAGTTAGCCCAGAAACAAGGCACCAGATCCAGGACTGCTGGGCTTCCAGGAATGAGTTACAGATATGTGGTAGTTCAGATCCCTGCTCTACCTAGGGCCTGGGAAAGTTATTTAACCTCTCTAACTTCAATTTAACCTCGCTTTTAGTGTCACAAGTTCCAAGGTTGAAATTGTGAGATGTGGTGGATATCTCTAAAGTTATTTGTAAACGCTGTGCCTCTTCCTTTCTCACCACTGAAGAAGTCAGGGGAGTAACAGCCCTATATGTTTGTGTAGGGACTCTTGCAGGGAATTGCCCAGAAGGGAGAGGTGCTGAAAAGGGAGAGGGGCAAAGTCAGCCCAGCTCTGGTTCTTCTTCAACCAGGAACAGGTTCTGCGACCTGCCTGTTGCAGAACCGAGGGGCCTTAGGCTTGAGGACGAGGCCCCGCCCCGCCTCAGGCCACGCCCTGCCTGCTCTCCATGGTGCTGATCCTTGAGTACTTGTTCTTAGGTCGACTGGCCGGCCCGAGGGGAGGCAGATATGGTTGTGGTGGTTGTTTTGCAGGCTGGCAAGTTAGGAGGTAGGATGTTGCCCTATTCAAAGGAAGGATGCAGCCTCTGGAATCCAGCCTCCGCCCTGAGCCCATCGTCTCTCTAGGTCTGCAGCTTCCACAGGCTCCAGTTACCTCATCAGCGAGGAAGGTGGCTGCTTCTCAGTGTCCTCCGTTACCCCACCCCTCTTGCTGTTTCCCTCCCACCTTCCAGACAGCCCCTCCTCTGTTTCGCTCACTTGATCATCCTATATTCGCCCCCTCAATATGGGCCTCCTCCCAGGAGCACCAGCCTTGTCTGTCCTCATTTTCCTCCCCACCACCACAGAGTGTGGAGCTTTCTCTCAACATACCAACAACTCCAAATGCCCCCCTGCAACCTGACCCGCTCTGGAGCTCTAGATGTCCCAGAGAGGCTGTCTTCTGGACATCTCTGGAGCCATTCCATAGGCTCCTCACATTCAAATATTCAACGTCCAATGCATCTGTTGTCTTTAATCAGCAAACTTCAATTCCCCAGTCATGAAACTTCAGAGTTGCTCTGCCTTTTCCCTCTTGTCCACTTCCTGTGTCAAATCTGCCTCTGAGGCTTGTAATCCTCTTGTATCTATCCACTCCTCTTCCTGAACCTAGTTTCTTCCCCACGACCCTGGTCATTCTTCAAGCCCCTACCTCAGTCCAATCCCTCTATTTCACCTCCTGCTTCACACAATGCCAGTATTCTGAGATATCTGCTTATATAACTCCTCCATAAAACCCTTGTATGGCTTCCCTTTGACCTCAAGATAAAGGCCAAGATCCTCAGCCTGGGGCCTCCCTGGTGGCCTACGGGTTAAGTCTGAGAGCTTTCACTGCTGTTACCCAAGTTCAATCCTGGCCAGGGAACTGACCCACATGGCACAGGAGACCTCTGTCTCTCCCGCTGCTCCCCTCAGCAGTGTATTTCAGCACATCTGCCTGTTTCTTCCCCACTCTGTCTCTGGTGAATCCCCCCACCCCTCACACCTTTGGTCTACATCCCAGTTTCTTGTATGCATAAATTAATAATCTTTAAAAAAAAACCCTCAGCCTGGCATTGCAGCTTCTCATAATCTATGTCTGACTGAACCCTCCATCACCTGTTCCAGAGAAAACATGATCTATCCTTTTCCTCCTTGATTTGGCAATCTGTTTCCCTTTCCAGGTTGACTTTCTTCTTTTTCTCTGCCCACCCCAAATCCTGGCCTAAGCTTCCTGATCCAGTTGAGCACCCACCCTACCCCTCAACCCTCACAGGAGGAGTCACGGGGTTCTAGGATGAGTTATTTTTGGCTGCCTCTTCCTTCCCTGACTTGCTATTTGCCCCACCACCTATCTCCTTCCTCAGGCTCACTTTATTTCCTTTGCTGGGTCATGCTTTCCTAAAGGACAGACCACAGTCCTATTTGCTTCAGTCCCAGGCCCAATCAAATATAGCAGCTGCTGTTATCCCACTGAGTCACACCCCTCCCCCCCCACTCAGGTGCAGGAGTTAAGGGGGGAAGAGGTAGATGAGGGCTGAGTGGGTGGCTCAGGGCTTCCTAGGAAGGAAGAATCTGGTGTGCTGCATAGGAGGATGGTGATGGTGGCAGCAGAAGGGGGGGTGCTCACTGCCCTGCCCTGTGGGAATTCCTTCTTTCCCAGGGCAGCCTGAGGTCATAGAGAGTGGAACAGCCCTCGGCTCTCCAGGGTAAG